CACATTTTCAAGATATAATAATTCAAAATCTATATCTCAAGAAAATGTATCTATAATTTTCGAGTCTCGACCTCGTGCTGGATGAAATTTTCGTCAACTTTATCCTCATAAATTGTCCCTAACGAAGGGGAAGCTGAAACCCTCACCGGTAAAATTTCGAACGGTCCGATCATTCTCGCCATGATTTTTTGTTTTTGTGTTTAGACCGTCTCTTCGAATTAGACTTGTGATTGTATATAGTAGTTTTCGAGTTTGCTGAGAAGTCTGAGTGGAGATTAGTGGTATTGGTGATATATATAGAGAGAATTGAAGACTAATCATCGTGTGGTCTCATATAATTATAAACTAAAAAATTAGCGAGAGAGCAAATTAGTGGTTTGGGTTGATGAGACGTAAAGGCAAAAGGCACGAGCGGAAATACATGTTAGAATACGACGTGGTCTACTTATCGCACGTGATAGGTATGTTTCACACTTGGGCGCTAATGATTGACGCGCTTCGGACTTATTAACAAAAAAAGTCAAGGAGTGAATCTGTATTATTTGCGAATCTGTATTATTAAATGTTATAATAAGGTTAATATGTATTTGACGTTAAGAACTCTGTTATAATAAGGTTAATAATATGTATTGACGTTAAGAACTCTGCTAAAGTCTCTTCTTAATCCTGTGGTTAAGAACTAATCTCACCAAACAGGATTGTGACTTTTGCGGTTTAATTTTGGTTCGATTTTTCAAGATTTTGATTATTGGTTTGTGGTCCGGCTAACAAGAACTCTTTTTTTTTATTCTTCTAAAATGTTATGTAAAGACCTAGATCTTCTTAGTATATGCTTTCTATTTGTTTGTACAAAAATTGAATATTTGGATTGGATTTCTTATACTCCCCCGCTTTGGTTAGAAAATATGATTGAACTTTTGCTAATTATCAACTCGAATTTTTCCAAATGAAATGTAAAATTTTATTCAAGAAGAGAGGTAATGTTTTTCACGGTGGTTGATTGTCAACCCGAAATTGAACAGAAGTGTATGTATAATTTAGGATTTGATAATCGAGTTACAAAGCTTAAGATGTGAAAGTTCCTTGAAAATATCACAAAGAACTAGCTCATGAGATATGATTATACAAAATATACAATACAAAATCTCATCTTATACATTTATAGAAGAAACAAACCCATTAAAATAGCCATAAGAATCTATCTAAAACCCCCAAAGATCAACAAATGACCCATTAAACG